GGATGGACGGATTGACAGCAAAGATGGCGGACAAAGAATGCACAGAAGTTCCAGGGCAGAGTCACGCTGGCTGCAGACACCTTCACAAACACCGCCTACGTGGAGCTGAGCAGTCTGAGGTCTGAGGACACGGCTGTTTACTACTGTGCAGGACACCAACTGTGAAAACTCAAGCCTGAGGGTGTCAGAAACCCTGAGCAGCAGGGCAGCTGTGCTGGGAGAGCAGAGGAGAGAAACGATGGTTCTCCTGACTTCTTGTCACCAAGAGTCTAGAATCTGAGAGCAGAAGTAATGCTCTTGTGGGACATGTGTTTTGAAGAGAGTTCTCAAGATAACAAATATATGAAAACAAGATGTAAGATAAAGATTTCCCTCCAGAGGCTTATGGGTTTTATTACTTTTTCAGCAGTAGTATTGAGTTCTTGGGAATGTTAGGTGAGGCATTATCTGGGATTATTTGGTTAAGGTCAAGTTTAGGATTCTTTTTCTGTAGAGTCTCCTGGCCAGTTCTCTGACTTGCTCCTTATTTTTAAAAGTGGCATCGTGCTTGGGTGAAACCCAAGGATGAATTTCGATCTCCCAGTCTCTGCCAAGGAGCCCACATTTGGCACCTGGCGGGACAGCCATGAGCAGGGCTACCGAGTCCGGGCCGACAGGCGCACAGGTCCGGCTCCGTCTGCAGCAGCACGTGGTTCCGTCTGGCCCCTCCTGCAGGGCTGAGGTCCTGAGGAACCTCCTCCTGGGGACGATGGCCTGCAGCGCCCGGTCCCCAGGAGCAGTGCTTGTGGTCGCCACGTAAGAGGGCGCCATGTGGGAGACACTGGGTGACGGGAGACTCATGTGCTAGTGCGTATTACTCTGCTGACCCTTGTGTCAAGTTCCTACACATGCAGGGCTCCAGTCGGCACACACGCATTCCCTTTCACTCCACAGGTCAGAGTCTGAAATCAGTTTCACTGGATTGGAATCCAGGTGTGGCAGGAACACACACACCTCAGTCTCTCGGGGAGTGCTGTGGTCTGAATGCTTCTGTGGCCCCAGAATTCATGTTTGGAATTCCTGCACACCTAGGATAATGATGTTAGAATCGGGGTCTTTGTCCACTGCTTAGGCCATGGGTCTCCATAGTGGGGTTGGTTAGAAAGAAACCAGAGAGAATATGTTTGCCCCCTCTGCCTGGTGGGGACCCAGAGGAAGGTGCCTGGTGCGAACCAGGAAGGGGGCCCTCAGCAGAAGGCAGCCTCACTGGTGTCTTGACCTGGGGCTTCAAGCCTCTCGGATTGCAGGAAATAAAGTCTTGTTTACAGACCACCCACCTGAGCTCCTGTATGCCCTCTGAAAGGATAAAGTCAGGGACAATCTGCTTCTTTGCCGTGTCCAGTCTAGAGCTGCACTTTCCGCATGGGAGTTTGGTCCTGTATTGGACCAGAATCTGGTGGTTTGGAGTCGATGATGAGAGAATGAACAAAGGAAAAAGGCTAATATTCCCTGGGTTATGCAGCCGGCTTTCGCGTTCCAGGGAATCAGCCAGAAATAGAGAGAGAGAGAGAGAGAGAAATAAAGAAAGACAGACAAAGAGACATGGGGACCCCAGCTCTGATGGAGCAAAGGTGTTTTAATCAACATGGTGTGGGCATATATATTGTCTTACAAGGTAGTTATTCTCAGCAAAGATAAAGATTAAAATTCCAGACTTACAAAACATAAGGCGATCCATATTAAAGACAAACAGTTGTAAACAATCACTTTTACTGTAAGGTTCATAAGAAGAAGAGGGTACTTATCACCATATTGAAAAACTAACGAAGGAAATGCCTGGATTCCTCAGCCCCAGGAAAGGCTTGCCCCACTCTTAATTCCTGAATATTCAGTAATTAATAAGGAACAGAGGACTCGAGAGATCCAAAACAGTACACAGAAAGCCTCCTGTTAAATGATTCCTGACAGATGTTGAACTGTGACCCTCAAGTAAAAGACAATATATGATGGTGTAGGATCCTTTCTATACATTGTTGAATTTAATTTCCTAATACTTTGTTGAGAAGTTTTGCATTTAAATTCCTCAAAGGTATGTTTTCTAGAATTCCCAAGAGAAATTATCTGTTCCTGGAACTTTCTGAAATGATGATTATAAAATTCAATTTAGACACAAATGATCAGTCTTTTCAAGTTGTCTGTTCCATCTTGACTCAGTTTTGAAGGTTTTGCAGTTTACGAATTTGTCCATTTCTTCTAGGTTGTCCAATTTGCTGGCACACAACTGTTTGTAATAATCCCATGTGACTTTTTTGGATCTCTGTGGTATTAGTTGTCTAATACTATGTCTCCTCATCTATTTCTCATTTTATTCCAGTGCTTTCTTTCTTCTCCTTGGTGAACCTGGGTAAAGATTTATGATATTGTTTGTCTTTGCAAAAAATCCCAACAAACCAGTTTTTTATTTCACTTATCCTTTTCATTGTTTATTGTGTGTATATGTCTATATTCATCTCAATATTACTGATTTCTTCTCTGGTTTTTGTTCTTTCCTTCCTTCTACTGTCTCTGGGCTTTGTTTGATCTCCTTTTCTCTAATTCCTTTAGGGAGTAAGTTAGGTTGTTTGCTTCCAGTTTCTTGAGGAAGACCTGTATTGTTATCAACATTTCTCTTAGAACTGTTATGCTACCATAGATTTTAGAGGTGAAATTGTCTTTACATGCAGAATACATAACAGTATAAATGGAAAACCCTAAAGACTCCACACAAAACTACTAGACAACATTATCCAGAAAGCCCTGAACTCAACAGGTCAGAGTGGGTACCAGCATTTGATTGCTCACAGCTTAGGAGTTGTTGGGGATTCTCTGGGGATTCCCATTCTAATGCCATAAACTAAACCCCATAATAGACCAACTGGCAGTGGATTTGGGGATGTGGTCTGCAGTCTTCCAGTCCCGTGAGGTGAGAAGCATATTTGGATTTTACAGGTGGTCCAATGGAATCACAAGATCAGAGAAAGTGGATGAGAGGAAAGCCTGCTAGTTGATGCACACAAGACCCCACTGGCTTTGGTGATGGACGAAGGTGTTGAGCCAAGGGATGAGGACACATTCTCATCCCTCAGAAGGTCAGTGACCTGGATGCCAGAGGCCCACAATTCCAGGGTCATGTGGATCAGGTCCTGATCCAAGACAGGAGTCCTGATGATGGTGCATACCATCTGGGACAAATGATTCCACACACTCTGAGGCAGAGTGAGGTGGGACCTCTCCCCAGAGCACATTCAGGTGTCGGGAAACAGGATCTGTTACAGAAGACATGCTGGTGCAGAAGTGTCATGACCAAAGCCAGACCAGAAAGGGCTTTTCATAGACAGTAGGTTCTACCTCAGTCAGTGTCCAGGTGAGATCCCTGTGCCGAGGAAGAGCTGACCTGCCCCAGACGCGAAGGGGTGAGGTCTCAGGGCAGGAGAAGGCGAGGGTCACACGGACAGGGCGTCAGTCAGCGATGGGGACCCACACCGGTCTTTCCTGGCTCCAGGAGAGATAACACCACTGGTGGCAGCACTCACCACCCCCGGAAAGCCCACCTGAAGTCCAGACGCACCGTGACGGCCGTCATCCCCAGTCTCCATGCTCACAGCCAGGATGCAGGCGCGAGGCCACAGCCTCAGGGCCACAGGGAGACGGGGGAGCTGTGCTCTGCTCTCCAGCACTGCTGACTCAGAGGACCTCAGGCTCAGTCCAGGACACGGAGCCCCTGGGCTCGGGAAAGCTGCTCTCAGTGGGGTTTTCAAGGGAACCTGCTTCCTGAGGAGGGGCTTTCCTCTGACCATGCCGCCCTCACACTGCACGCCGTTCACTGTGAAGGTTTACCTCCACGAACCATGCGTGTCCTCTCACCACTGTGGTGGGGACTATGTTCCCTGAGCTCCCATCTCACGGCCGGGACACAGAGAGGAAGAAATAAGCACTTGGAGGAGGAGGGAGTCTGTGCAGAGTGACCAGGACACCTGCCCAGCATGTTGGAGCACTAGGAGCTCCCAGGCGCTGTCTGTCCTTAGGAATTGGTAGCCTTAAAGTTCTCAATGTCCACCCTCCAGAAGCAGGTCCTCAGGTTCACAAACTCTTGCAGACATTCAGTTGTGCATAGGATCATGCAGGACAGCCCACTGGGCAAGTCAGCCAAGCTGGGAAGACGAGCTTCTCAGCAGACATGACTACTTTGTCCAAAAAGTTAACTGCATGGTTAGTACTTATGAACACACCACCTCCAGAGAAACTCTTGATTTCAAACTGCTTCAGATGAAGAAATGCCCTTGCCTGTTAAGGGAAATAAAAAATCCTTTGGAGTTATGATAAATTTAAATTGTACTGAGTTTTTTTTCTAACTGAATGCAATTATCACATAATCTCTCTCTCCTGTTTTAATATCCTGTTCATGAACATAAGCCAGTGCAGAAAAGAACGATAAATGAGAGTTCTGACAACTACGTAGACCTTGAATCTGCAGTGTGTATTTGACAAAAGATGAACCTCCATGCAATTACTCTCTTCCCAAAACCTATGCTTGATATTTGACCAAATCTTTTTTCCTGACCAGCCCTTCCACATCCTTTCATTTCTGGACACAGAAGACCCCAGGTAAGGGGAGGGGGGGCCCCAGGGGCGGCTGAGTTCTCTGAGGGCACAGTCAGCACCCCCTTTCACAGGGGGAGCCCCAGAGACAGGGAACTCCCTTCAGTACCTTCTGCTTTTTATGCAGAGGCCCCTCCCACATGCAAAGATCCACTCAGGTCACAGGGTGGAAACACAGCACCAGGTCACTTAAATTCAGGCTGCTCCTCAGGCTTGAAGAGATTTCCGGGAGCGGTGACTCTCATCTGCTCGAAGATGAGCCCACTGTGGACCTTCGTCTTCGTGCTGTCAGCTCCCAGCGGTGAGTGTCTCTGGATCAGACATGGGCACGTGGGGAAGCTGCATCTGAGCCCGTGAGTCACCGTGCTTCTCTCTGTCCACAGGCGTCCTGTCCCAGGTGCAGCTGCAGGAGTCGGGACCCAGCCTGGTGAAGCCCTCACAGACCCTCTCCCTCACCTGCGCTGTCTCTGGATTCTCACTAACCAGCTATGGTGTAGGCTGGGTCTGCCAGGCTCCAGGCAAGGCGCTGGAGTGGGTTGGTGGAATCAGTAGTGGTGGAAGCACAGGCTATAACCCAGCCCTGAAATCCCGGCTCAGCATCACCAGGGACACCTCCAGGAGCCAAGTCTCCCTCTCACTGAGCAGCGTGACACCTGAGGACACGGCCCTGTATTACTGTGCAAGAGACACAGTGAGGGGAAGTCAGAGTGAGCCCGGACACAAACCTCGCTGCATGGGCGCCCCGGACCACCAGGGGGCGCCCGGGACTCGGGAGAAAGCTGAGCCCCGGAGCCGGGGAGAAGAGGCGTTGGGGGCTGGCCGGCCTGGAGGGGATTCCCTTCAGAACCTGTTCTTTACTGCTCCCGCCCAGCAGCTAAGCCGCAGACCCTCTCATGTGTCCTGAGATTCCATCGCTATGGTTTATGTCACTCTCAGACAACTGTGTGTGTGTGTATGTTTTAATTTCTCCTTGAAGTAAGGATAGCTTTATGCAGACACACACACACAGACACACAGACATAATAGTCAACAGCTAAATTGTTTTCTCCTTCATTGTTCTTCTTTCTAAGGAGCTCAGTAAAACACTTGACTCTGACGTTCATTTCAAAACTGTTACCTACCTGAAGTCCACACCCCATTCTGGGCTTCTGTCTGGATCAGTCATAAGGGGAAATAGAGAGGTGCTCAGGAGGATTTGCCCGTGGGGTCAGCATGGAGCCCACCACCCCCTGTGCTCACTCCCGCCACAATGGCCGTCACTGGTGCAGAGTGAGGAAGCCGCAGCTGTGCTGGGCTCAGCCCTGAGGAAGACCCACGGCCTGAGAGGACGAGCAGCCGAGCTGAGGTGGGAGGGGCAGGGGGCCGTCGGGACGGAGACTCTGGGCTCAGAACGGGGGACCTGCCCTTGGATCTGGTTCCAAGGCCACATGCAGACGTGGAAAGGGGCGGGGAGGAGGGGAACGGCTCCTCTGAAATTACCTCAGGAACCAGTAATAAGATGTGTTGTCCTGCCTTCTGGCTAGCACTGGGTCACCGGGGACGTGACAATCTCCTCACCGTGGTGCTTTCTGCATTCCAGCCTCTTGGCAGAGCTTTGGAGCCTGAGCCTAAGTGTAAGCGCCCTGCTGTGCCCTTCGCCCCTGTCTCTCGTGTTAGTCAAGGCTGTCCAGGCTCCTCTCACGCGCAGTGACATTCGATTTCTCCTTCTACTCACAATTCAAGGACAGCCTCAGCTGGTACCTGCTGGTTTTTGCATCAAGAGGTAGTGTGTGTGAAACCTGTCATGTCCATCCTTAAAGCAAGGGAATTCTCAACACCAAAACTTTCCCTGGACCGAACACAATCCTGACATTTCAAGGGAATCTCCCAAAACAAAACCAGAGAGGTGGGCAATCCACAGTCCAGGTGGGACCGGCCCACGGATGTGAAGCTTCAGGAGGCACACCTTCAGGGTAATTCCTACCAGTTCCTGCAGGACCAGCAATAACCACTGTGAGGATGAGAGATCCAGGGGTCACACTCCATGGCTTTTGGGATATAACTCCAGAAACATCCAGGTCCTCAAGGTGAGTGTTCATATTTAACCCTTCAGGACACCTGATGGACGAGGGGAAGGCCAATGCTGAGAAATGCTAACACCTACCCAGAAGGTGCATCAGGCAGACCCTCCAGGGAAGAGCTCTTCCCCCAGCTTCTCCTAGGAGGTGAACAGAAGTTCTTGTCTACTGCAGGCCTACAGAGGGGGCAGACCTCACAGCTAGGAGAAGGGACTGGACCGGTGCAGTGCAGGCCGGGAGGAGGTAAGCGGGGATGGGCCAATACTGGAGACCCTGGAGATGCTCACAGCCCAGACTCACCTCCCTTGAGTCGTGGGTGTTCAACCTCAACAATGCAGGAAGCCCCTACCCACATGTGACCCCCAGGGACCTGGCAGAGCTATGATGTGCATCCTCTTTGAGGAGGAAGCTAGTGTGCAGAGACCACAGCCAAACAACATCCAGGAGGCAGGGTGCTGAGGCTCTGGTACCCATGGCTAGAGACCAGGCTTCGAGCACCTCACTGCTGGCCTCAGACACCCTCTCTCTCCTGCCTGATCAATTTGGCCAAAATCCCTCTCCTGCTCTTGGGTATCTGACATGCTCAGGAATAGTTATGAAGTTTCCATCAGAGACTCAGAACAGGGGGAAGAAGCGGGTTTGTCACAGGGTCCTGCTGGAGGAGATGTATCTGACTCAGCAGCGGGTCTGTCTCCCCACTGATGCCAGGTCCTGAGGTCCTTGGGCAGGTGGTCAGGATGGATGGTGAGAAGCAGGATGGAGTCTGAGGATGGATGCACCCCGAGGCCATCCTGGTGAAGAGATGTCCTGCCAGGGGACATGCACACTGCTGACCTAGCTTCTCTGCAGGGTGCTGTTGTGGCAACCCACTCCAGTGTTCCTGCCTGGAGAATCCCATGGACAGAGGAGTCTGGTGGGCTACAGTCCGTGGGGTCTCAAAGGGTCAGACACGACTGAGGTGCCTGAGCATGCTCAACGCCCCCCGTCCCCCGGGTGAGCATTCCCTCAGGGCAGCATCTCCTGAGTCAGCTGACAAGGGTGCTGCCTCATCCTCCTCTGACTTCAGGTGTCTCCTCTCACACAGGTGTGGGCACTAGAGACCCTCAGGCGTTTGTGCCGTGAGTTGTCAGGGGGCAACTGCACTGGTTTCTGACATGGGGGCTAGTCCGGCACCTTCTTGTGGGGCCCCTGCAGGGTCCAGGTGCTGCAAGAGCAGGGGAACCCAGGGGTGGAACGGTAGGTGGAGTGGGCATCGAGCCCCATGCTTCTGCGTGCAGCTATCGTGTGGCACAACGTTAGCCCCCGGGGGGTCCAGGAGGTGAAGGGACCCCAAGTCCTTGAGAGCCTCCGGACTCACTGTGAGTGTCAGCTGCCTCAGTGCAGCTGCAGCCCCAGGGAGGCGACATCCAGGTGTTCTCATAAGTTTCTTCCTTGGGTCTCTCTCCAGAGAGTGTGCATTGATAGAGGCTATTTCTAGAGATGATTAAAACACCATGCTGTCTCCAGAAGAATACTCTGACGGTAGATCACAGCCATTTCCTACCAGGCTAGAAACACTGCTAGGACTGCCTGTGAGCCCAGGCAGGGGGTGCCCAGGATCCCAGCGCAGGGCTGCTGCCCAGGAGCATGTGGGGAGGGGGCTGGGGAGACTCAGAGACGGAGTCTTCTCTTTTCACGGAAAACAATAGCTAGCAGGACGAGGACTGGTGACGTTTAATATTGGGTTCTGATGAGAATACACAGCTCAGCGAGGCCACGGGAAGTATGTGTGTGTATGTGTGTGTGTGTGTGTGAGTGTATGTGAGTGTGCATGTGATGTGTGGGTGTGTATGTGTGTGTGTGAGTGTGCATGTGATGTGTGGGTGTGTATGTGTGTGTGTGAGTGTGCATGTGAGTGTGTGTGTAAGCATGAGTGTGTGTATGCGTGCATCTGAGTGTGTGAATGTGTCTGATTGGGTTTGTGTGTGTATGTGTGAGTGTGAAAGTGTGTGTGTGTCTGTATGTCTGTGTGACAGGTGACTGTGTGTGTGTGTGTGTGCGTGTGAGTACCCAGTGGTGGCAGAGTTTGGGGAACACACGGATTAGAGGTGAAGATGTCTCTGTGACATTAAAGGCTGGTTCACGGTGAGGACTGTGTCCTGTGCGGCTGGTCCCTCACTGCAAGAGCTCTGAGTGCACAGGGGTCAGGGCCATGGCAGGGACACACGTCCTCAAACAAGGGTGAGGACGCGGACACACAAATTCCCACTGAGCGTGGTCATGGGTCATAGGACTACTCCTTCCTAATATTGCCCGTGCAGTGAGTGTAAAGTTTTCAGCCTCTAGAACATGCAGATGGCCTGAGGTGTCCTAGGTTAAAGTGGGATATTCTGAGCCCTGAGAACATCACCCACAACAACACCGACTCTGCACAGCAGTCCTGGGAGCACAGCCCTCACCAGGGACGGGAGCTGGAGAGTCCTCCTCCTGGGGCCTTGGCTCCAGGTCAGGGTCATCCCGGTCTGGGGTGGAGGAAGGGACAGGGTCCAGTCAGGGGGTTCATGCCCCTCTGACCCCGGTCCACGGCTGTGCACACCCAGGTGCAGCTGGTGCGGTCGGGGCTGAGCCGAGGAAGCCCGGGGCATCAGTGAGGGTGTCCTGCACGGCTTCCGGATCCCCCTTCAGCGCCCACGACACGCACTGGGTGTGACAGGCCCCTCAGCACGGGCTTGAGTGGGTGGACGGATTGACCCCGAGGCTGGTGGACAAAGAATGCACAGAAGTTCCAGGGCAGAGTCACGCTGGCTGCAGACACGTCCGCCAGCACCGCCTGCGTGGAGCTGAGCAGTTTGAGGTCTGAGGGCACGGCTCTTTATTGCTGTCTGAGACACACAGTGTGAACACACACATCCTGAGGGTGTCAGAAGCCCTGAGGGGCAGGGCGGCTGTGCTGGGGCTGATGACGACAGGGCCGATTGGGTTGGGGTCCTGAGAAAGGTGGGTGCAAACATGCGCTCACTGTCTCAGGAGTGTGTTCACGGTCAGAAGATTGTGCTCACTGTCGAAGAAGCAGTGTCTCCACTCTCTGAGGACTGTGTTCTGTCGGAGGAGTGTGTTCCCTCTCAGAGGAGTGTGTTCACTACTAAGACGTCTGCAGGTGGTTGAGCCTTTTGCCGCCCCGCCCAGGAGTGAACACCGTTTTGCTCTGTCTTTGCCAGGACCTGGTATGCTGTGTTCTGGGTTCCAGCCATTCTAACTGTGCAGTGGTACCTCGTGGTCATTGAATCATGCAGTCCCTGATGGCTTGGGATGTGGAAGGTCTTTCCAAGTGCTCATGTGTCAGCTGTCCATCTTTGCGGGGAAGTTCACAATTCACTCATTTTTCACTGGGTTGCTTACCTTCTGTTGTTCAGTTATGAGTGTCCACGTGCATTCATAGCACAAAGTTCTTCCCA